TTATAGCCCCTTGTTAATTTTCTTCATGGTACTTAACACAGTTGGTATTTTAAAAATATGTTTAACTGATTATTACATTTACTCACTAAATAGAGACCCTAGCATAGTGCTGGGTACATAGAAAGGTGCTCAATAAATATCTTTTGAATTAAGTAAAATAATTTTTTTTTTTTTTTTTTTTGGTACTGGGGATCAGACTCAGGACCTTGCACTTGCAAAGCAGGTGCCACACCACTGAGATAAATCTCTGGCCCAAGAACTTAATTTTGTCTGTTTGTTTTGGTTTTTTGAGACAGTTAAAAAAAACCAAACTTGTAGTTCAGACTGGCCTTGAACTCACTATGTAGCCCATGCTGGCCTTGAACTCTTAGGATCCTCCTGCCTCAGCCTGCCAAGTACTGGGATTACAGGCTTGTAATCCAGTACAGGCCACCACACCCAGGCAGCCTTAAGTTGTTTTGCCCTAATCTTCTGCTCTATTTTGCCTGACCTAAGAACTTTATGTGACAGAAACAGCAACCATAGGTTCTCAAAGAGGGAATGACATGAAAAAAGATAGTTTTAGGAATGATCCATTTGGTGTTTGTGTGATGAGAAGCTGAAGCCTGAGAAACTAATGAGAAGTTTATAGTAAAAATCCGTGTACAGTGGCTCTCTCGAAATTTGCAGGTGTTAACTTCCTAGAGCACCTGCGAATTGTGAAAAACTGCAAATTTCAGATATGGTCAGGAAAATACCTTATAAATGCCTATTATCCCACTGTGGCATAACTTTTTAGTTCCCGGAGCAAATCCAGTAGTTCCACCTTCTCCAAGAGTATCTTAAACTTCTGGTGCTTAGGTTCATTGTTAGAAAGTTCAAGGCATTTTTGCGCCATCTTAGAGATCTTAGGGCTTTAAGAAGAACAAAACCAAGAACATGAGATAGCTACATGAAGTACAGCAACCTGTTAAGCTGGAATTCTGGTGCATCTGTTGGAAATGGATTATAGGGCAACAGCCAGTCAGCAGCAAGGAGAACTGAATAACTCTTTGATGGGCTACTTGCAATCTTCCCACTCCCCCAAAATTGCAGAGGGTATTTGTGGTTTCTGTGAACAGTTATTAGTTAGGTTCTAAGGAAAAATCTGGTAACTGAGGCCTCAAACAGAACCGCGAATTCTCAGGGGAATATTCTGGTTTCAGTAAGACCCTCAGAAAACAGGATTCTATAAATGAGATGTGAAGGACAAGACATTGAGTAGTGAAATAATTACCCTAAAATTTGCATTTGAGGGAACAAGGTAGTAGTGAGTAAGTAGGTAGCAGGGCAGAGGTTTGAAATGAGTACCAACCACTTTTAGGAGGAGGTCTCACCTTTTTGAATTTTTGACATGAAAGCTCAGACAGATCTTTCAGTTTATCACACAGTGGAACCAAGTGGTCATGTATGCAGGCTGGCTTTGGTATTTGCAAATCAATTGATTAATTCACAATATCATGGTAAGGAAATGCAAGTAGAATAGTTAAATTAGAGATTTCTGAGAACATAAAAGGTGAGTTTGAGATCCCTATTATTTATAAAATAGTACAACACAATAAGCTGAGACAACAGTTCTGTGGAGATCCATCTTATATTTTATGAACATTTCATAAAAATCCAAATTTCTTCCATATCTGCTGTTGGATGCTTTCCATTATCTAGTCTCATCTTCTCCATCTAGGTTTAATTTTTATCACTTTGCAAAACTTTGAGCCTTCCGTTGCAACCAGATGAGTTTGAGCACATATAAATAATTACCTGTTATTAATACTTCTATATCCATATTTCCCTTCTTTCAACTCTCATAGCTCTGAAGTGACACTTAAACTGGCTCATAGTGAGGAAGACAAAGAGTTTTAAGGACATGTATGATTACTTTGGTGTGCATTCAGGGTTAAAAAGGAATGAGTAATTTTTTTTTTTTTTTTTTTTGGTATCAGGGATCAAACTCAGGTCCTTGCACTTTCAAGGCAGGCAAAGGCACCGCTAAGCTAAATCCCTGGCCCTTAAAAAGTTGATACCATAAAAAAATTATGGAACTTCTAAAACTCAGCAATAAGCCAGGTGTGGCGCTGCATTCCTGTAATCCTAGCACTCAGCTGAGGCAGGAGGATTATGAGTTCAAGGCCAGCCTGGGCTACATAATGAGAACCTGTCTCAGAAAACAGACAGAAACAAAAAACAACTTAAAAACAAACAGACCCAAAGACCTCAACAGTAAGAGAAATTATATCACAATTTAAAAATGGGTGGAAAATCTGAACATACTTACTTCACAGGACAATACGCAGAAAATAGGTGTGAGAAGATGCTTACCATTGTGTGTCATTAAGGAATTACAAATTAAAACAATAATGATGTACCACATTTGTTAGAATGGCTAAAACTCACAACACTGAAAATACCAAATGCTGGTGAGGATATAGAGAAACACGGACTGTACTCCAGTATTGGTAGAAAGATAAAATAGTACATCTTTTTTTCAAGATCATTTGGCAGTTAGGCTTACCAAATGAGTTCAAAATTTATGTCCCCACAAAGAGTACACAAATGTTTGTAGCAGCTTTATTTACAATTGCCCCAAACTGGAAGCAAACCAAAATGGCTTTCAATTGGCAGATGGATAAACAAATTGTGTATATCTGTACAATCTGATGTTATGCAACAATAAAAATAAATGAGCTGCTATATCATGAAAAGTCATGGAAGGAGACTGAATGTCTATTGTTAACATTAAAGAAGTCAACCCCAAAAGGCTATATACTTTATGGTACAACTATATGATCTTCTGCCTAAAAAAAAAAAAAAAAATCAGTGCGTGCCAGAGGTTCACAAGGAAAGTAAAAGGGATGACTAGGTGGAGCACAGGGCATTTTGGACATTACTCTGTCAGGTACCAAAATGGTGGGTTCGTGTCATGTTTGCCACCCTATAGAAATGTGCACACAAAGTGAACCCTAAAGTAAACAATGAACCCTAGTTAGTAATAATGTAATCAACATCAGTTCATGATTTATAATAAATATAGGATACTAATAGTAGATGTTGGTGGGGGAAACCGGAGGGAAAAGAAGGTATATGGAGGTTGTACTTTGTGTACTTTTCTGTAAACCTAAAAATGCTCTGAAAAATTCAGTCTACTTTTTAGTAAATGGTTCAGTAGTTTTTAGAAAAATGATACAAGCTTAAAATGGAAATTCTGTAGAAGTGTTTGTAATAGTGTGGTTCTTGTATCTTTTATTTTGAAATATGAACACACGTATATTAATAAAGAATAAAACAACTACCACCACCACCATCATTTTGGCTTAAAAAAAAATAAAAAGAAAAACAGCTGTTCTTAAAATGCCAGATTTTACCAGAGGAAATTGATGGGTATCTGAAATATTAGTGGTAAATGTCAGGGTCTCAGGAGGGAAACCTGAGGCATTTAACTCAAAAGTGTGAAGATGCTGTTAGGAGATTTGGATGAGATGATTATTTTTCCCTTTTGTGCTTACATTGGCTTTCGTCATTAGAATTTGGAGGCTATGTGCTCCAGCTTCTACAAGCCTGATGTAGGTTCCTACCTATATGGACCAGTGGGAATTAACCCTGGAGTTGTTTCTTTTCCTTCCTCTCATACTGTGCCCATTGTGAAGTTTTTGTTTCTCTCAAAGTGTATTAGAGTGTATTTAAACCTTAGTCAATTACTAACAGTGTGGTGATCATTAGTTTTATAAAGGTAGGACATTGTGTGCTGGGGATGTAGCTTAGTAGTGGAACATTTGCCTGGTACATACAAGGTCCTGGAATCCCCAGCAGTACTCCCCCCCCCCCAAGTCCTATTGGATAGTGTCCTGATTTTTTCCATTGTTTTCCTATTTATTTATTTATTTATTTATTTATTTATTTATTTGTATAGGTGGAATCATTGATAGCCAGAGTGGTTGTTATTCCCCCTAAATCACAGTGGTAGATCATCTAGTCTACTATCAGTTGTTTACCTCATCTTGTGGCACAACTTCTGGTATAGTGTCCTTTAATGCAGCATTATAAGTTATCATTCAACTTGTATCTGGTTTTCCAGGATAGGAAAGCAGTAACTTTTTGTGTTCACTGAGACTTGAACCTGGAGCCTTCCACATGCTAAGCACACACTATACCATTGAGCTCTGCCATGGTCGTTGGAGTTTCATTTTAAAACTCCATCGACTATGGTGAGACTATGGTAAAAATGTGCACATATCAGAAAAATATGATTAACACTTTGAAGGCAGTTTCTGAATTAAGTATTTTTTACATTTTAGTTATATATAATAACAGTATATAATATTTAGGTATATTTAGTGGTTGCTGTAATTATTTGGAGTAAAAGTATAAATTTATTTAGACAGATTAGAAATGATTTTGGACTGAATGATCCTGTAAAGAAACTACATAGTTTTAAGCTTGTAATGACTATGTTATTTCAAATTAAATAAATTTACTTAAATTTTAAATACATAATAATCTTATACTCAGAAAACATCTGAAGGTACTTTTCAGAATTTTGAATATATTTTACATCTCTTGTGTCTTCTAGAGGGAAGAAAAGCTTTGTAATAAAAGTTGCTTTGTTTTCCTTTACTAACCCATTTGGGTTGAGGGTGATTTAAAACACAACATATTATTCTTAGTTTGAAATGATTTTGTGCTGAAGGTTATCAAGATACTCTTCAGTCATTCAGGGAATTAACTGTGCATACAATTGATGTGTATGATTTCCTACCAGTTCATGTGTATTTGAGTATTTTTGGTATAGATTCTAGGCATTTAGTAACTCATTCAAAACTTTGTATAAATTTTGCTCAAAAAGGTAATTTAAGGGGCTGGGATTTAGCTCAGTGGTTCCAGCCCCTGCCTCACAAGCACAAGGTCCCAAGTTCGATCCCCTGTACCAAAAAAAAAAAGTGATTTAGATAATAATTTATTTAGTCTAATTATGTTTCATTTTTCAGAGAGCTACTGAACCAAGCCAGGCTGTATGCCATTGCTGCTGAAAGAAAGAATGATCTAGAGGAGAACAGTTCTCATAGGAGAAATGCCTCTTTCCCTAGGAGGGATACTGATCAATTTAGTTGGGCTCTAATGAGATTGGATACTTCTGTCCGAAGAACGGGCCGTATCACAAAGGGACTTTTGCAAAAAGTCTTTGAGAGCACATGTCACTCAGGTATTTGAAAATTTTCTGTTCATCAAGTTAAACTTTTTAAAAGGTTGGGGGTTTTTTGGGGGTTTTTTTGAGTCAGGGTCTCAAAGTGTAGCGCAGGCTGGTCTTGAACTCACAATGGAACCTAGGCTGACCTTGAACTGTGGCAATTCTCCTGCCTCAGCCTTCCAAGTGGTGGGATTGATTACAGGTGTGTGCCACCACACCCAGTTTAAATTAAAAAGTATTTTTAAGGGATGAACATTGTAGAATATATTATTTGATACTTTCAATTTCATTAATTATGATTATGACCTCCCTGTCTATCCAACTCATTTAGGGAAAGTTTGGATATAAATGGATTATTTTGTTTTAGATGTTTATTTCAAAATCAACAAGTTTTATTTCTTTCCGTAGATTATAGAGAAAGAATTGCTTTCAGTGGTAAATTGTTTTGGAAGCTGCTAGTTTTTCATACCTTCCTCCTATAGTGTCAGCTTTCCCTAAGATGACCACATATGCCAGGATTTCCAGAAAGACTGATGATCATTATTTCCCTGTTATTTTCTATTAACTACTAAAATCAATTTGTTTCATTTATGCCTTTGATAATCTGATGGAAAGGTCCTGAGTTAGATCCCCGGTACCAAAAAAAAAAGATGGATAATCTGATGGAAACTGTTGGGCATGTCACTCCCCCCATCCCCCGCCCAGTCAACATGTAAATATACATAATTTTGCAGGCAGTTTTAAGACTCAGAAGGCTTCTTGAAGCCTAATCATAGATATTGGTCACATCAGGAAGCATAGGTATAAAATTTGATGATGAAGGGAATAACAAAGAAATACTAATTATAACTACAATTATGTACATTTAAAGACATTTTTGTCATTTTCTCTTTTTGGTTTATTCAGTTGTTCACCCACTACTAGTCAATATTAGAACATTTTCATCACCCCAAAAAGAAACCTCTGTACCCCAATCAATCTGCAGCTCCCCAACCCCAGCCTTAATCAACCACTAAGTTTTTTCTAGCCCTGAGATTTGACTATTTTGGATAGTTCATATAAATGGAGTCATAAATACGTGTTTTTGTTTTGTCTGAAAGTCAGCTTTTAGGGCCATGTATCTGGTTGTACATGTAGGAAGAAGAAAGGTTATATTATTTTGTAATTGATTATAAACCTGAATTTGAGACTCACGAGTTTTAATTATACTGCTTTGTGTCATTTTTATATGGTACTGGGAAGCTTAGCCTTTATTGTAGCAAGCACTGCTTATAAATTAAGTTCTCTGATTTTGTATTCAGTAGTCGTTCAGATTACATAGATATCATAACCTTAGATGTCTTAGGAAAGCAGACTAATATTAAAATTTTAACTGGTAAGGATAAGATTTTTCTGATTTATGGAGGCTTTCAATATTGCATTTGGTGAGCCAGAAGATTTTTGAATATTGATAAATTTCAGTTTAAAATTTGATATTTATCTATATGATATTGGTACCACACTCAGTGTTATCCATTGACGTTTTTTCCATAGGTAACCCAAGTGGTAATCAAGCCTTGCTTCTGCTGCGCAGCTGTGGTTCCCTCTTGCCTGAGATAAGTTTTAAGGAGAGAACAGATTTTGTCCATAAGATATGGGACAGACTTCAGGAATTGGGTATGACTGTTTGAGTGTGTGATGTGTATAAAAGGTGTGGATATTTTTTCTTTGTGTAAAAGAATATTTCTTTACATAAATACTGTAATTCAATTTTATGGAAGGGCTACTTAATTTGAAATTTGTTGGTAGTGTTTTTATTTGATGAGTTATAGTGACATCTAGGGGCATTAAGAATAAAATAATTTTTGTAACAAGTAGTACGAACTTGGTAAGTGAAAAAAATAAAAAAGTATGAAATAGAAAGGTATTTGGTCGATCAAAGTAAAAATTCCACATACAGTTTGACCAAGCAGTTCCATTTGTTAGAATTTAGGTACAGATAAACTCACATGTGCAGAAGAATATTCTTCTTTGTAACTTGTTTGTAATAGCAAAAATTGGAATCAATGCTGATGTCTCTCACTGGGGATTAGATAGATAAATTATAGAGCATCGGTAATAGAATAGGCACCTCAAAAATGAAGGATCTCTTCATATACTGATAGGATATTCTTCAAAATAAAAAGATACAGAACAATTTATATAGTATGATACCATTTTGAAGCAGTACTTTTTTCTTATATGCACATGCATACAATATTAACAGTTCTAGGATGATGAACACTCCATACAATTTTTACATTTATGTACTGTTTCAGCTTTCAACCATATGAGCATAGTAATATTCAAAAATTAAAGTAATTTATAGGAACTTTTGTTAAAATTTAGTGTTCATTTCTGACATTAAAAAAACCTTAAATGGATGCTTCTCTTTTTTTGTTTTTTGGTGGAACTGTGGATCGAACTTAGGACCTTGTGCTTGCAAGGCAAGCGTGGCACCACTGAGCTAAATACCCAGGGCTAAACGGATGCTTCCTTTAACATGTTAAAATCTAAAGCTATGAAGTACAAGTATTTTGTATAATGTAATAAAATATGAACCACTACTAGAAATTATTGGGGTTTTTTTGGTACCGGGGATCAAACTTGGGTCCTTGTGCTTGTGAGCAGGCAGCGGAACCACTGAGCTAAATCCCCGTCCCAGAAATTATTGTTTACTAAGTGATATGATTGTTTAACTGTAAAATTCTAGAAAATCAGTTTACAGTAATTAGTTGGACATATTAAATGTTTGAGAATCCTTAAAATTTTTAGTTATAAAATAAAAATGATAGAAGATCCAGTTAAGGGTAGTCACAAATATATAAACTACCTGGGCCTAGCCTTCAAAAAAATGTGGGGGCCCTCTATGAAAAAAACATAGAATAAAGACAGATCCTTACCTCTCAGTTTTTTGTTTTTGTCTTCTGAGACAAGGTCTCATTATGTAGTTCTGGCTGGCCTTGAACTCAGGACAGTTTTCCTGCCTCAGCCTCCTGAGTGCTGGGATTATATGCATTTGCTACTATGCCCAGACTCCATCCTCAGAATTTTAAATTCATCTAGAGTTCTTTTTGGTGACAAGTTCATTTTTTAAAAGTTTAAAAAATTATGATGAATTTCAGAATGGAAAAGGATTTTTGTAAGTTAAAAAGCAGAAAAGTGAAGATAAAGGATTATAAAAATTAGAAATTTCTAGGGTTAGGGATATAGTTGAGTGGCAGTATGTTTGCCTAGCATGCATGAGGCCCTGGATTTGATCTCCAGCACTACAAAAAGGAAAAAAAAGGTCTACATAACTGTCATGCAATTAAAAAGCATGTTGAAATGGGAAAAATAGTTGCAGAAAAGATTATATACTAAGATATAAAAGGTCTTTTGTATGGCAGTAGTAACATTAACAGTTTCTAATTTAAATATATATTACTTTCTGTTATAATTATTGTCAGATATCCTTCCTTAATACTGCATTTATTTTTTCTGCCAGGGATCGAACTCAGGACCTTGTGCTTATGAGGCAGGCATGGTGCCACTGAGCTAAATCCCAGGCCCCAATACTGTATTTATTCTGAGAGTGAAATTCATAGTTTATTTTCCTCTTTGCCAGTAGCATGGTACTTTGTACATAACGATGCTTGATACATACTTGTTGAATTAACATTGCCAGATTCGGGGCTGGGGATTTAGCTCAGTGGTTCCGCTGCCTGCCTCGCAAGCGCAAGGACCCTAGTTCAATCCCTGGTACCAAAAAAAAAAAACATTGCCAGATTTCTTGTAGATTTCCAGTGTGACTTGTTCACAGACTTTTACCTCACATGGTTCAAAATTCAAAAGATTTAGTAGGTTATAGTGATTTTTATCAGTCACATCTAACTGTAAAACGGTTTTCTAAGAGAAAACTCACATTTTGGAAAAGGATAAATGTAGTATTTTTAGAAAACCATTTCTTGGAAGAGTATTAAAAATCATTTACAGTATTTGGGATTGAAAAAATCAGTAGAGTTCTGATTTAGAGACAAAAGGTTGGAATAAAGACAACTAATAACTATAGGCCTTTGGGCCATAGGCAATTGGATAAGGACATGAAATTTACTTCATGAAAACTAGGAAAACTTATTAACCTAGATTGAGATGATGATTATGGTGTCACAGTTGAGTGGTAGCCCTGATTGATGTGGACCCCCCCTAGGCTGTGTGGATACAAAGGGAAAATGAGGCATAGGGTTACAAGTCAGTGAAGCTAGTAGACTAGAAAGAGTGTTCAGCAACTAAGATGGAAAGAGTCTTTCATACAAAGGTGTTGAGTAGCATGGTAGTAAAATAAGAAAAATTACCAACAACACTTGCTTTTTTTTTTGGTACTGGGGATCGAACTCGGGACCTTCCACTTGCAAGGCAGGTGGTGGCACCACTGAGCCCAATACCACTTGTTTCAAAGAACTGTAGTCACAATCCATCTGTGAAATAGTGAAGGCTGCTTTATATAGGAAAATCTTTCAGTCACTTAAATATAGAAGTATTGTTGACATTTTCTACCAGAAAGAAAACACTGTGCTTCATAGCCAAGAGACCTTTTAATAAATATCTGAACAGGCAGTTACTTAGAACTGTAAAGTAATTCGGTTATTACGTCTTACATGCTTAAGTTGCTCTGTTCTGGCAGGATATTTGTATACTGTGTGTGGGTCTAAGTGTTAAGATAAATGGGTGAAATGGTACAGTAAAAATTTAGGTACAGATGACTTCAGTTGTGATAAAGGATATGATTTTTAAATGTTGGTGTAAAAATCTGATTTAAATTTTATTTGTAGGTACTGTGTATGATGTGAGTCACTACAATGCTTTACTCAAAGTCTATCTTCAAAATAAATATAAATTTTCACCTACTGATTTCCTGGCAAAAATGGAGGAAGCAAATATTCAACCAAATCGAGTATGTAGATCAACTACTGTGCATATTGACTGGTCATATCTCCTCCAACACCCCTTTTTTCTAAACTTACAAAAACAATATTAAGAAAAATTAACCAACCTATTTCATTGATAGGTGACCTACCAGAGACTGATTGCTGCTTACTGTAATGTAGGAGATATTGAAGGTGCCAGGTAAGAAGCTATAAATGTAGGTGTATGCAAACAAATTTGTAAATTTTGTAAAGGTAGAATATATTTATTCTGCTTATTTTTGTAGTGTCTTTTTAATAAGGGTAATTATTTCAGAAGTATTTTAATGTAGCAAATTTGGTAATACAACTTAGATAAATAAAATTGTATAAGAGGGAAAGATAAAAATTGCTGTTTCAATTAAAAAATGCTGTGGTTTTATTGGAGCAGAGGCATGAAATTCTTGATGTATTAAAGCTGGCTTCTTGCCTTTTAAAAGAATATTTTCTAAGGGAAATGTTTTTAGCCATTTCAGCAGTTCATTTATAAAACTAGGAATATTCTTGTTGTCTCATTGATTCATATAAAATCAATTGCAACTGCATTTCTCTGCTTATGTACAGTTTATTGCCACTTTTGGATTGAAGGCTTGTGATATAAGGATAAATTGAAATGTGCTATCTTACTTTTAAGTAAATGTTATTAAATTTTGTGCTTTTTAAAGGTTAATTACTAATGCAGAACAATTAGCCTTTTAAAAAACTACCTAATATTTTTAGCAAGAGCACTTCAACATTATTGATAGTTCAAGTAGTAGGGTTTTATGAAAAGGGGATCAGTTTTATTTATTGTAGTTTTTAAAACAAGCATGTGTTAAATAAATATAACTCCAGGGCTAATGTATACATGTGAAAAGTGTCTGGTATACTTTTAAGGAGTGTCATTTCTTTTTTTTTTTGCAGCAAGATTCTTGAATTTATGAAGAATAAGGACCTTCCAGTTACAGAGGGAGTATTCAGTGCTCTTGTTACAGGGCACGCAACAGCTGGGTAATATTCAACCTAAGGTTTTGGTTTTTATCCAAGGTTTTAAGCTTTAGAAAATTATAGAAAAATTCAAATAACATTTTATCTGTACTTCAGAAAAGATCTGGACTGTGTAAGTCAGAACATATTGGTATTTTAATAACTTGCTCTTGTTTATACAAAACTTTTAAATAAGTTTAAAAAATTGGCCTTAAGATGAGAACACACCTGTAATCCTAGCACTTTGGGAGGCTGAAGTAGGATTGCAAGTTCTGGCCCAGCATGGGCAGCTTATGATTTAGTGAATCCCTTTCTCAAAATAACAAATAAAAGGCCTGGGAATGTAGCTTGTTTCCAAGCCCCTTGATCCAGTTTTTGGTACTGAAAAAGGAGAAAAAGTTCAGCTTGATCTGAAGTAAGATATTTTTAGTTTTCATGAGGAGTTTACAAAATGTTATTCTTGAATAAGGTAAATACATCTGAGTCATAACATACTTAATGTAATAAGTACTGTACATTATTTAATATCTGTGTAAGTAGTATATAATTTATTGGGGAAGGAAAGTTACATATAAAAATTTCAGATGTTAGGGATGAGGATTTAGCTTAGTGTTATAGCGTGCTTGCCTAGTATGCATGAGGCTTTCGGTTTAATCCCTACAAGTGAAAAAAGATATTTCAGGTGTTTATGATCTTTATTATTTCAAAATATACAATCAGTTTAATATATATTTATCTTTGTTTGGCATCATAATTCAAGTACTTAAAATTGTTGATTTTAATAAACACTAGTAATGTGCTTTGTTTTGTTTTGTTTTTTGAGACCGTGTCTTGGTTTGTAGTTCAGGATGGCCTTGAACTCACTATGTAGCCCAGACTGGCCAGGAACTTACAGTGATTCTCCTGCCCCAGCCTCCCAAGTGCTGGGATTATAGGCGTGCACTATCATTCCCAGCTGCTAATACATTTTAGATTAATTTTATCATGTTTTACAGTATTATAATCTATTTTATGTTTTTTGAATTAACTTCTAGAGATATGGAGAATGCAGAAAATATTCTGACAGTGATGAGAGAGACTGGAATTGAGCCTGGTCCAGACACATACCTGGCCTTATTGAATGCATATGCTGAGAAGGGTGACATTGATCATGTAAAGCAGGTATGACTTTCATCATGTAAATAAACAACATCATTTTTATAAACTTATGTTTTACATTAAGCAGAAAAGCGCAGAACTCTTTTTAAAGCTCATTATAGAGTAGTAGTTAAGGAAAATTCTTTGTTTGGTACCTTGATGGTTATTGTTAAAATATTTCCTTTTTAAAGAAGTCTTAAATAGAGAGATAGTGCTTTTGCAGAAGGGAGGGGGACCAAGAGATAGAGAGAGGGGGAGGCAGAGGAGTGGAAAGGGATCAGAAAAGAATTTAGATGTGTTATGTCCATGTACCACCTCTTTGCGAGGAGTGTGATCATAGGAATGTGATCATAGTGTACTGCAAACATGCACTAATAAAAAAGGAAGAAAATGAAGTTCTGAGTCTTTTGATGCTATTTGTTCCTAAACTTTTGAATATTGGCATTTTTATTTATTTAGCTTTAATAATTAAGAAACCATTGGTTTTTAACTTCTTGTTCTAATTTCTGGAACTGTTTGCAGACTCTAGAGAAAGTGCAGAAGTCTGATCTGTACCTTATGGACCGTGATTTATTGCAACTTATCTTTAGCTTCAGTAAAGCTGGGTATCCTCAGTATGTTTCAGAGGTTTTGGAAAAAATTACCTATGAAAGAAGATATATTCCAGGTATTTTTTTAAAAATCCCCCCCCCCCGTGACAACTTTTTTATTTTATTATTTTGTTTTTGTTATATTTTGGGGGGGGGCTTTACTTTTAATACTTTAGCAATTAGAGGGAAGTCTTCTTTAACTTGATCTTTTCTTCTACATTTGAAAAGCATTTCATCTTTGTTAAAATTTCCTTGGCTTTTTCAAAGTCATCTTGTTCAAAAGCTTTGCTCACATGTTCAATAAATTCGTTCTGTTTAGCTCTGACAGTGGATTCAGTCTCTTCTATGGCAGCTTCATTTTGAGCTTCTGCAAGTTTTTCATTAATTTCTATTATTTCCATGAGGAGCTGATTGTCCATTTCATAATCTGTCCCTTCAGGAATCTCTATTCCATGGAACCTTAGCTTACTAGGTATAATCCTCTTCTCAGTGGGGCCAGAAGAGTCTTATAGGCATCATTCACCAAAGTTGAATGTTTCTCTGATAATTCCTTTTCGACTGGGGCCTCTGGCTGAAGAGATCTGGGTGAACAAGATGCTGGAGTTGCTGGTACCTATGCTGGAGCTTTGTGGTGTCAGTTCTGAAGGAATGGTTGCAGTTCAGCTCTGCCCACACTTCCTCTCCTCTTTCCAAGCTTCTGAACCCCTTCCCTCGAGCTCTGCCTGTCACCGTCTCCATCCTTTTCCCACATGTTCCGCCCCTCCAATGCAACCCCGTCCCTCTAGTTCCTAAAAATTTTTTATTTACATGATTTTTATACAAGTATCAATTGCTATTTCTTACATGGCATAAGGGCATACTCTAACAATAGGAGATTGTGGTTAGTGAACATACGTTTTTTAGAAATTAGCTAAATAAGCTAAAAACTGGGAGTTAATGAGGATGTGGGAATGTTATTTAAAAGTGTTTTATTGTTATTTAGGCAGACATATCCTTTTGGTATTTGCAATTCCTAATTTTGTCTTTAGTAATGATTGCCATGTGAAAATACTGTTCAGTTTAATAACAAAAGATGTCTTTGTTTTCTTTGCAGATGCAATGAACCTCATTTTGCTTTTAGTCACTGAAAAATTGGAAGATACAGCATTGCAAGTTTTATTAGCATGTCCTGTATCGAGGGAAGGCAGTCTGACTAACTTTGGCAATTTCTTTTTACGACATTGTGTGACCATGAATACGGTATCCTGTCCATTTCTGCTTTGTAGATGGTGTAATTGGCAGTAAAATAAGATTCTTTAAAATATAAAAAAAAATTACAAGATTAGACCAATTATAAATATTATAAAAATCTGTATTTGTATTGTAAGATTTGTTGTGTGGTAAAAAGGATGAGAGGTTCAAAATTTTTGACTCCAAAGTGGTAGAATATTTTCAGGAGGTCAAGTAGTAGAATATTTGCCAATGTAGTTGATAGGACTTTGTTTCTCCAGCCTGCAGAGAAACTGATAGACTACTGTAAGAAGTTGAAGGATGCCCAAATGCATACTACTCCTTTGCAGTTCACACTCCACTGTGCTTTACAAGGCAGTAAAACAGGTACTGTATTGTTTTAATTAAAACCAACATCAACGTGTTTTGTAGAGGTCACTTGGGTGATATTTTGTGATATCTTTTTCAGATTTGGCAAAAACTCTAATAAAGGCTTTGAAAGAAGAAGGTTTTCCTGTCAGAACTCACTATTTCTGGCCTTTGCTAGTTGGACATCAGAAGGAGAGAAATGTTCAAGGTTAGGTTTGCCCTTTTTTGATTTGTAACTGTTCAGAGAGCTGTATAGAAGTTTGTATATACATTGGATTGAGTTCTTTGGGAAAGCATACTTATTCTTGAGTATTAGATCTTATGTGAATGTGAAATTGTGTTAAATCATAGTGAAGTATTATGTAAGCATTTAAAAAACACATGGATTTTATTTTTACATCTGACCTTTATATTCAAACTTAATGGGTCTAGTTTTAAACAGTAGTACATTATTTTAAAAACTCTTTAGTGTTTGAAATTAGTTTGTCTAGCCTTAAGAAAGTTATGTGTAATCTGGTTCCTGAGAACAGAGTGTGGCCATTTTCTTTGTGGACCAGTTTATTCTTAACTGAGCTTAGGTTACAATAACAGGAAAAACAAGAAAACTTTTATTGCAGAATGAGTGCTCATGACCTGACAGCCTGCTGATTGAAGGAAAGAAATGTTCAGTCTTTCAGGTACTTAAGTACGTTTAAGCATTTAGCATACTTTTCCCTTGTACACATGGGATGTCTATAGGATATGAATAAGAATTGAACAAATATTAAATTTTAGAGTACAGTATCTAATTCCTTGGTTTGCATTATTGGTAATTCAGAAAGAGTAGTCTCATAAAAAGGTGCTTTTAACAGAAGTACTTCCCCCCTTGGGGAAACAAAAAATGGTCTTTTTCATTTTATCTCGCAGTATAATGTGCTTTGGAATGAGATGCAGAGTTGTTAGTGTGACATTAGGTGACAAACAGAATGCACAAACAACAAAAAAAGTGCTTTTAGCAGACTTTCATATTGCAATTTTATTTTAAATATATAGCTGTCTTCTGGTTTAAAGGAAATAGTGAAGTGAAACAAGTATTCCCTAATTGTTTCTGGCTATAAAAGTCTCTAAATCCTTTTTAGAGAAGTCTTTATGAAAACAATATGCTAGTTGATTAACTCTTTGTCTATCCTCTAGTTCTGAAAGCTCCAAGAAGTAATCTTTTAACTCGGTATTTTTGAAGCATAGAAAGTTTACATCATTCCATCAAACTCTGGGTATATTAGCATTGTTTACACAAGTGTGAAAATACTTTTGGTGCTCTTTTGAAATGTTTATCAGGTAAATTTGCCTTCCTAAACCATATCATGGCATCTAGACTTGAATTGGCTACTACATTATTATTACTTAGTAAACATACAAGAATTTAGGTAATTTCTTCCCATAGTCACAGCTAGTTGAACTAGTAGAAGATGGGCTTTATCTTGAATCCATTTTTCTTAGAATCTGAGAATATAGATTTCAGAGTTACCTTGTTGAAAACACGTTAAATTAATGATTGAACTGAGGGCCACGGGGATTCAGAGACTAACCTTAGGTTCTGTAATCTCACTGTCAGTTGTGCTGGGAATAGGGTGGAGAATTTCTGTCTTCCTGTTTAAATACTCTTTTTATACCATTATAACTTCATAGTAGACTTGTAAATATTATGCTGTATGTATTTTATAAAAATTCTTAGCTATCCTTGAGAAATTAGGTGCCATTTTTTACATTAAGAACATTTGAAAAAAGAGTTACTAAATTGTTTACTCAGTGAAGATTTTACCTGGAAAAATACAGAAACTTATGCTGTGTTGAGAAATAATGACATGAGAGTACAAGAGATTATTAGTTGATTTACATTTTTAAAAAACCTAGATAGTGAAATATGTGTTGGGATCTTTCATGCAAAAGGGAAATGGTATATGTAGTTTCTATAATTTAAGGTTCTTTTTAGTTTAGTAGACTTGTTCTTTGTCTAGTGAAAGTCATATATTAATTCTTAGAAATAACATAAAAAAGATAATGATTTCAGTGATGGAGGATGTGCAGAGTATTTAATAAAAAATAAACCCTTTGAGAAATCAAAAAAAGATATTTAGTGACAGATAAAACTAAACGCATAATTTTCCACAGTAGGATGATCAAATTTCTGTTGAATTTTCCTGGTTGCCAATTTAGCCATCTTCTGCCTTTAAATGAGATTCTAATAATGACTTATTCCTGGCTCATCTTACTAGTAATTTCCTCTGTGGCAGAAATGGAAAAGTCACCATTTAGACCTGGGTTTTTGTTTTGTTTTGTTTTGTTTTGTTTTTTGAGACAATCTTACTATGCAGTTCAGGATGCCATTGAACTCCCTATGTAGCCTAGGCTGGCCTTGAACTTATGGCGATCCTCCTGCCTTAGCCTCCCAAATGCTAATGATTATGGTTGTGCAGCACCACCGTGCCCGGCTAAAAGTCACCATTTAGAATAATGCATTTTCAGCAAGTTGGACTAAACAACGGGAGCCCAGAATGACAAGGGATCTACATCCTTTAGTATAGTTAGAAGACAAAAACAAGAATGAAAAAGGAACAATATCATTGTTCAGAGTTTATAGAATTTTACTTAGAAAAATCCAGCCTACTATAGACCTAGGCTATATATTACAGCCCTTTGCTTCTAGGCTGCAAACCTATACAACATAACACTACTGAATTTTTTTAGGCAATTGTAATACAGTAAGTACACAGTCACAAGGTGATAGGAATTTTTCAGCTCCATTATGATCCTATGGGACCGCCATTGTGTAATTGGTCATTGACTGAAAAGTCATTAAACTGCATGACTGCACAGTGTCTGTCTCTCTGTGTGGGGCTTAGCTTATTTAGCATAATGTACTTCAGGTTTATCCATGTTGCTGCCAATTGTGAGATTTCTTTTTAAAAGCTGGTATTATTACATAGACACACACACACACATACATACACTATGTTTCCTTTTTTGTGTGTGTGGTGGTGCTTGGGATTGAGCCCAGGGCCTCTCACATGCTAAGGAAGTGCTTTACCACTGAGCTGCATTCCTAGCCCTACAACATTTTCTTTTCTCAATCTATCCGTCACCAGCCTGTTGTTACCTCATCTTAGCCATTGTGAATAGCGCTGCAGTGCACATGGATAGTAGGTATTCCTTTGAGATAAAGGTAGATCGCTGGGTCACATAGTAGTTCTTAAGTTTTTGAGGAACTTGCATAATGTTTTCCCTAAGGGACAGACCAATTTACATTTCTACCAACAGTTCACTAAGGTTCCCTTTAGCATTTTCTGTTTTTTGATAAATCTCATTCTGGGTTTTTGTTTGTTTTTTGTGGTGCTGGGGACCAAAACCAGGACCTTGTGCATGCTAGGCAGGCACTTTAAGACAGCTTCACCCCCAAAGCAACAGTAGCTATTCTGACAGGTGTGAGGTCTAACGCATTAGGGTTTTGATTTTCATTTCCCTGATGATTAGTGATATTGAGCATTTTTTTGCAAACCTGTTTGCATGTCTTCTTTAAAGAAATGTGTATTCAGGTCTTTTGCCCATTTAAAAAAAAATTTTGGGGGGCTATTAAGTTTTAAGACTTTCTTAACTATATTAGATACTTAGCAGATATTTAGTTCACAAATACTTTTGTTCTATACTTGCCTCTTCATTTTGTTGATTGTTTCTTTTGTCACCCTGATGCTTTTAGTTTGTTGTAATATCACTTATTTTTGCTTTTGTTGCCTGTGCTTTGGTGTCAAATCCAAAAAATTATTGGTAAGATCAGTGTTTTCTTCTAGGAATTTTATGGGTTCTTTTATAGATTATAGTTTAAATCCTTATTCCATTTTGAATTGTGTAAAGTTAGATAAGGGTCCTGTTTCATTCTTTTGCATGTGAATATTCAATTTTCCCAGCACTATTTATTGAAGAGATATTCTTTCTTCATTGTATTTTTTTTGGTGTGGGTTTATTTTTGGTACTGGGGATCAAACTTGGGTCCTTGCGCTTGCGCAGTCTTCGTTGTATTTTTGATGTCTTGTCAAAAATTATTTGACTAGCCTGGTGTAGCACACGCCCATAATTCCATCACTTGGGAGGCTGAGGCAGGAGGTTGGCCATGAGTTTGAGGTCAGCCTAGGCTAAATAGTGAGTTTAAGACCAGCCTGGACTGCATAGCGAGACCCTGTCTCAAAAAAATTAGCTGATTTTTATGCTATGTTCAGGGTTCTCTGTTCTGTTCGTTGGTCTGTTTTTAGGTAATATTAGGTAATTTTACACATATTGAACTCATCAAAGTTAAAATACTCTATCCATAGTCTGAATTTTTATCTAAAAATTGTGCAGATATTTAATAATGTTGTTAGACTTACCTGTATCTTTCTTAACTCAGAATTTATAATCAGGTATTTGTTCTAGAGTGCTTTATATGACAAACTTACAGATACATAATTTCTTTTTTGGGTACTGGGAATCAAACTCAGGACCTCATGCTTGCCAGGCAAGCACTGTGTCGCTGAGTTACATCTCTAGCTCTAGAAATCTCATTTTTCTGTAAGAGATATTGTGGGTCCAGAACAAGGACTTTTAGGGGAAGTTTTAATAATGTGAAAGTCGTGCAACTAAATGATAAATTTTAAAAAGGGAAATAAACGTGTCCTTTTTACCAAACTGTGGCCTCTGTCAAATTAGGTGATACCCAAGTAGTTTTCTAGAATCAACTGGATTTAATATCAAGAAATCAGTTCATACTATGTGAAGCTAATTGTGGCTTTGGAAAATGTGAAATGACTTTTAAAAGTTAGTGAAGGAAAAAAAAAAAAGTTAATGAAGGGGGCTGGGGATTTAGCTCAGTGCTTCCACTGCCTGCCTTTCGATCCCCAGTACCAAAAAAAAAAAGATAAAAGTTAGTGAAGATATTTTTGTGACTTAGGGTTAGAAGGAACAATTTACTAAACTTTTAAGTTTTTTTGTTTATTTTTGTTTTGTTTTTATGGTACTGGGGATTGAACCCAGTAGGTCAGAGCTCCGCCACTGAATTGTATCTCCTGCCTTTTAAATGAATTTTAAATACAATGAGATAATAATTCACTAGAATCAGTTCTCTATTCATTTTTCATTCTTAAGTTGTAAAATATGAAGTCAGAAGTTAGTAACAAATATAGGATTTTTTACTTAAGCTTATAGAAACTCCCCTTTTCTGTGTGTGATACTGGGGGTTGAACTTGGAGTGCAGTACCCCTGAGCTATATCCTCAGACCTTTACTATTTTGTTTTTTGAGACATGAAATACCCAGGCCGGCTTTGAACTTGTGATCCTCTTGCCTCAGCTTCCCAAGTAGTTGGGATTGTAGGGATGTGCCAGCAGTCCCTGCTAAACACACTTTTTGAAACTGGTTTTATCTTTGACAAATACTCTTATGCCATTCTCACAATCGCTTTTCACTGCCCCTTGTATTCTTTTTTTTTGGTACCAGGGATCAAACTCAGGGCCTTGGGCTTTCGAGGCAGGTGGTGGAACCACTGAGCTAAATCCCTGGCCCATGCCCCGTGTATTCTTGTCAAATTTTACTGTGTAAGTCCATCACTGCTTTGATTATGCTAATTTTTTTTCTTTTTTGAGACTAGGTCTCACTACGTAGCACAGGCTGGTTTTGAACTCATGGCATTCCTTCTGCCTTGGATCCCCCAAGTGCTGGTGTTACAGCCATACACTGCCACACTTGGGGATGCTAATGTTTTATAATCATTATTCATTTGGGGTGCTAGAAGTGTTAGGCCTCTTGCTTAATTGTTTTAAGTTTTCTTGTCATAATTTTTTCTGAGGGTAAGTTATTCTCTCTTTTAATTCATTAAGTTTATTGATACATTTTAGGTATACAGTATGGTGATATTCATCATTGGGAATAAGCACCTTTACATGATGTATCTGGTTCTTATTTTTTTAGGATACTTTCTTAGTAGTCAATAACAGGAAGATGAAGAAAGGAAGAATTAACTTTTATCATCATTTCTCCCACTTCTTTTGCTTTTCTGCCTTCTCTTAGATAAAATGCTGAGTAATTTTCCTACATTGTAATATAGAAAGTATTTGAACTGAACTTTCTGATCTTTTGTTACTTTATTCCAAGTTCTTCATTTCTGTATTTTACCTAACAGGTATAATTGATATCCTCAAAGCAATGCGTGAAGTGGGAGTAGAGCCCGATCAGGAGACATACGTAAATTATGTGTTGCCATCCTTTGATAATGTAGAGTCAGTACGTGTTCTTTTGCAGGTGAGTACTAGTGTGGTTTTGTTTAGTTGAAGAGACTATTTTTCTAATGTTTTATCAGTTTATAAAGATACAACTTTAGTAGTAAATTTGCAGCAAGTCTTTTTTTTTTGGTACCAGGGATTGAACTCAGGATCTTGCGCCTGTGAGGCAGGTGTGCTGCCACTGAGCTAAGTCCCCGGCCCTGGACCAAGTCTCTTAAGCTCTCTTTGCTTCAGTTTTCTTATATTGGGATAGTACTACCTGTCTACCTTGTGGGAGGTACACTATTGTGAATATCCGATGAGATCTTGTTAATGAAAACACTTTCTAAACTCTTATATCTGTTGTAACTATAAGTTACATGAAGCTATCTCCTAGGTTTTCTTAACCAAAAGCGTAGCAAGTGTTTACTAAATGTTCAGAAATCGAGGGTGAAGTTGGCTATGGTAGTGCATGCCTGTAATCTTAATATAGTGGAGGCTGAGACAGAAGGATCACAAGTTCAATATCAGTCTGGGCAATTTGGAGATTTAGTGGGACCCTGTCTCAAAATTTAGAAAAGGGCTGAGGATGTAGCTCAGTGCAAAGCCCCTAGGTTCAATCCCCACTATCAAAAAAAAAAAGTCATTGAGCTAAGGGCTGGTCATACGGTCATTTGTATATAATCTTTTAAAGCTTTGTAAAAATATTACTATTTTATATATATTTATGTATATATAAATGAAACGCTTTTTATTTTTAGGATGTGTTAAAAATACTTTTTGTTCATCAGCTTTAAACAGTATACAATATATTCATTGATAAACTAGAAGATCTTAATGTTAAAACGACTTAACTCGTCCACAGTTCTTTGAGTCAGACATTTTTATTTAAAATATGTATTCTTTCAGATGTAAATATGCTTAAGAAATCTCTTAGCAAGCAATGTTCGTATTCAGTGACTTTCCATTTGATAATTTTCGATTAGCAATATATGTCTGCAGATTCTTTTATGCTCTATGCTGATTTATTGTATGGCTGTACCATAATTATTTTTATTGTCTGTTATTATCCATGCAGTTTTTCATACTGTGCTATTATAAAATGATTCAATAAATATATTTGTGTGAAATTTTGGTTCATATACTTAAATTATTAAATAAATAACATTGGGACAAGTGGTGAAATACTTAAAGTCACTATACATTTCAAAATATTGGGCCAGGGATTTAGCTCAGTGGTTCTACCTCCTGCCTCCCAAGTGCAAGGTCCCAAGTTAGATTCCTGGTACCCCCCCCAAAAAAACAGCAAAAATTTCAAAATATCATTTTAGTTCTATTTGAATTTTTATTGAGAGAATTGTTCAGGGTCCTCAATAGTAAACTTCACAGAAAGAAAACACTCAAAGGATAACAGATTATCTGTGTTTATTTATTTATTATTTATTTATTTATTGGAACAGGGTCTCTGTAGTTCAGACTAGCCTCAAACTCAGCAATGCCTCAGCCTCCCAAGTGCAGCAATTACAGGTGTGCACCACCATGCCCAGTCCAGATTATTTGATTTTAGATAAGCATTTAATTTGGAATGTTGGGGCTCTGTCTTGAAGCTTTTGCCAAATTTAATTTTTTAGTTACACGTTTTTGTAGAAGTTTTAAAAATTGTAGATTATCAGAGAATATGGTGGTAAAAAGAAATGTTCAAGAAATGAGAAACCTGTATGGTATATTCATTGACATATGCTTTATTCCTAGGAAAATGAATGTCTACCTGAAAGTACTTCATTTGGTATAGCTGAATTGAGAAGTGAAGCAGTAAAAGGGAACTTAGACTTTGTTTTATCATTTTGTAAGTATGACCTATTAGCTTTAAACTTGACAGGTATTGATTTCTTTAAAGAATACTACTGTTTGTGTGTGTTTTTTTTTTTTTTTTTTGGTACCGGGGATCGAACTCGGGACCTTCCACTTGTGAGGCAGGCGCCGGAACCACTGAGGTAAATCCCCATCCCTGACAGGTATTGATTTCAGTTACTATGAGGGCATGCAGGGTAGTTCATGCAGTGCAAGCAAGGAAGCTTGTATATTTTGTTAAAGTCAGACTGATGAGCAAGTTTGTGACGTGGAGATAGTTGGGAAGTAATTTTAAATTTGGAAGGACCTTTTAAATAACAGAGTGTTAAAAGAGTGAAGCCTGGACCTGAACCTGAAGGCTCAGATGCTGCTTATAATACAGAAGCTGATAGGTGACCTGGAGCAAGTTTCTTAACCTCCATTTGCTTCAGTGTCCTTAAATTGACATAGTGCTGCCTATCTGTCTTGGGAGAAGGATTGTGCAAATTGGATGCGATCTTGTTGATGAAAATGCTTTCTAAACTTAACATCTATAATTTTAACAGCTATTATGAAGAAACAAATGGTGAGGTTAAATGATTTATCCAAGCTAGTTAAAGTGTTTTGAGCCAAAAGCAAGATCTTCTGACTTAATTCTTTTCACCATAGCATATTTATTTATTTATTTATTTATTTATTTATTTATTTATTTTTGTAGCACCAAGGATCAAACTCCTCTGGACCTTGCGCTTGTGAGGAAGGTGCTGGAACCACTGAGCTAAATCCCCAGCAGCACATATTTATTTATTTTTGGTACCTGGGATCGAACTCGGGTCCTTGCGCTTGCACAGCAGGGAGCGAAACCACTGAGTTAAATCCCTGGCCCTAGCACATTTTATTTT